TCGTTATACATCATGTTATATATATATATATATGTACATGTATTCAAAATGGCTGATTTGAATGCTGTCCAGAGCAATATCTCTCAATATGGACAAGTACTTGTTTGACGATCAGATACAAATGTCAATCATTTTAATGTTAAAAAATCATATTCCTGACATGGTTATATTCCAGCTATACTACTATATTACTAAAACTATATATCTTAAATTTGATAACTAACTGGGACTGTGCCATGCATGGATTGTTTTCTATTATTTCCTACGTGTCTTGATAACAATGTTGGAAAAAAATACATTAAATAAAAATGTGGATTTTTCTGTAAAATGTGGCAAAATTTTACTTCGGCTGAAAGGAATCAAGATAAATTTTCCATGGTACGATTCTAATAATGTGTAAAATGTAAAATGTTTTATGTTTAAATCTTGTAGGCAATGGAAATCAGAGGACCATATGATGTTGCTAACTTGTATCCTTGACATTGGTATACAACCCATGTGTAACAACAAATTTAAATCGTATTTATATAAAATATGAATAATAATAACATACATGTACGTACATTGTTGTACCTCGGTATTCCCTTGAGAAAATTTGACACTGAGAAACACTACTTTAATGATATTGAATACAAAATAAATAAAATCTAACAGAATATTTAATGTCACTGATATAATAATACAAAAATAAAGCTTAGAGGGATTACTGATACACCATTTATCCTCACAAAAAAACTATGACCAAGCCTGACTTGTAATATGGTTCTGTATTTTTATATACGATCTTGTGTTTGGGCAGATAAATCTAAATTTTTAGTTCCTGTTCGGACAAAGTCCGAAAATGGGGAATTATGGATCGTCTTGCATGTGTTCGTATCTGAACATATGCACATGCATTTGTTTCATGACCTTAATTAATATGGCCGAATGGAAGCCATTTTAAGGTAAAAAAAATAATCAAAATCCCACATTTTCACTATTCCTCAACTGAATCTGTCATGCATGGACAGATTCTGTGTAAACATGTGTTGAACGCAATGGGATCAATGCATGCTGTTTTATCTTTTGGATAGATTCAAAATGGCCAACAGATTACAATAAAAATTAATTCATAGATTAATCAATTTTTGGCTTTCTAATTATCACACACTGAAACTTGCTCTAGGACAATGCACTTAATTAGTTTTGGGTTATATTAATTACCTAATTTGCATAATAATTTGTCAGTTTTCAACTTTTCCATCGATATCTGTTAATCTAAGTATTAATCAACAAATTCAATGAATCTAGATTCATAGATGCTCTGTGACATTGTGCAAACCTGATTAGTTTTATGTTAAAATGTATACCCACTAATTACCAAAGATGCATAATAATTAGTTTTCAGATTTTCCATTGATATCTCAAGTACTTATCAATGAATCTGTGTACATAAACGCTCTAAGAGAATGTGACAATTTAATTAGTTTTGGGTTTAAATATCATAATAATTACCTAGTTTGCCTAATTATCACATTTCCATGAAATGTTGTACATAGATGCTCTGGAAAAGTCCACAGATGTGATTACTTCAGAAAATCATGCATATTGATTATCTAATATTAGTCAGTTTTTGATAACTCAAAAATCAGACATAAATTGAACTTGGGATAACTGCAGAATGATTATAATAAACTTCAATACTGTGGGATAACATTGTTTTCATGTTGTGCATCTCAAATAGCAAAGCTTCTTGTTTGAAAGGCTATTATTAAATTTTGAATTATTTTAAATATGCCTTTAATACCCTCAGCCCACATGAGTTGTTTCTAAGTTTTCTTTAATCTGGGTTTTGGTAACAATAGGATAAAAGGTAAAACAAAATCAGTTAATTTGGTTTAAAATGTAAAGTGCAACTCTCTTAAAAACCAACCTTTATGTAAATCTACATATTATTTTGGTTTTCGTATTTCATTTTCATAAACTTGTATTAAAAGGTAACTATAATGGCTGAAAAGGATAACCTGTGTTTTCCTTGACCACAGTGATCAGAGGATTTCTGTTTGGATTGAATGAAGCCCAGTCAAAAGATGCAGTATCAATGAATTGTAGATCAGTTTTACTCCATGCAGGTAAATATCAGCGCTTCCCACGTTCAGACTTTTCAAAGTTGTCATACAACGTAACGCAAACATTTTAAAATAACACTCGGATTATGGCGGTTTGGGACTATCAAGTATTTGATAAAAAAAAGGTAAAAAAATATTGAAAATGCCAATTTTCAGCAAAAATCCCATATGCTAAAAGTTGCTCTAGGAATGATCTGTGAGTTTAACTTTAGCTATAATGATTGCAGTTCGTACATGGTAGTTCTCCCTCACATTATCACACCTTGTGTTCAGAGAATATGAATGTGGCAGATATTTTCACATTGTCTATGCACAAATTGTTCAATTTATTTATACTCTGGCTTGTGTTCGACTTTATTTTTCAGAAACCAGAAGAAACACGGCCAGGGGAGCACTTTCCATCAGTAATATATCCGATATTTCAGAAAGAGATGCTTGGAAAATAAAAGAACATAAATCTTCAAATCCATCAATTGCCAGTAATCATCAAACTGATGAAGAAGAGAGTGATGAAGAGAAATCTTGTACAAGAAAAAAGAAAAAACAGAAAACAAAGATGTGATAGTTCATATATTCTTTTTTTATTTTTTTAAAGAAACATTTATTTATAAAGAAATAAATATGATTCTACAGTCCACAATGTTATTAGCTTAGTTTGACTTTACCCACAATCACATACATTGTATATCACTCGGTTTTTAGCTTCATTACGGTACATTTAGTAGACGCTGAGCATGAAGTGTAGGTGTACACTGAATCACCATGGCTACTAATAAAATTGTACTAAATTCTGCTTTGAATTTTTGAAAGTGGCCACCAGTCGATCAAGAGAGCAAAAGAATTATTGTGTATACTATTATTTCTGGTTTTGTACCAACATTGAACAAAACTGAAAACCTGATAGAAAAACAAATGGCCATTTGTCAGACTGCTTTTGTATAAGCTCAAGAGTCAAACTGAGTCTTTGTGGTTTCTTCGCAGCACAGTAAAACTAGTTCAGTTTTTGACTCCAGTGTACAAAACACACAATGGGAGTCTTTGCGCTTTAATGTGTTTATATGCATGTGTGTCCGACTGTTCCACTGATATCTCAAGAACCACTCATTGGATTTTGATGAAATTTGGTAGATAGATGCTGTGGACGAATGCACAGACCTGATTATTTTTGGGTAAAAATCCCCATGCATATTAATTACATAATTTGCATAGCAATTAGTCAGTTTTCAGCTTTTCCACTTGTATCTCGAGTACTAATCATCACATTACAATGAAACTTGATAAATAAATGTCTTAGGACAATCACAGACCTGACTGGTTTTAGGTTAATAATATTTGCATATTAATTACCTTATTTACATAATTAGTCAATTTCCAGCTTTTGATATTTCAAGTACTAATCATTACATTTCAATAAAACTTGGTACATAGGTGATCTTGGGCTATGCACAGACCTGATCATTTTGGGGTAAAAATTCTATGCATATTAATTGACTAATTTGCATAACAATTAGTCAATTTTTGGCTTTCCCACTTGTATCTCAAGTACTAACAATGTCCGCGATCATTATTGTCTCATATAATTGTAGATCAATTAAATCTACTGCGCCTATTGTTAATAGATTATGTGAAAGTCGTTACATCTGCCTCTTACAAAAACCACTGGCTATTACATGAAGATTTGGCTTATTTATCATCAATTCATAAGATTTCCATGCTTATGGTGTGTCGGCAGTAGATACTGGGTCTGGACTACTTTCCGGCCACCCATATGGCGGAACTGCTATCTTATGGAGGAAATTGCTTGGGGACTCTATTAAAATAAAGTCTTTTAATGATTTTAGACTTCTCTGTGCTGAGCTTGTATTTGGATGTGTTCAGCTTTTCATTCTATGTGTGTACCTTCCAATTAACTGCAGTGACAATTTTGACGAGTTCATTGACTACCTTGGAGAAATTAATGCCATTGTCCAGGAACAAAATGCATCCAATTTATTTATTATGGACATAATAAATGCGGACATGAAATCCCAATTTGGCAAGGAACTTAAGGAACAGTGTATTAATACTAATTTAATTTTTATCAGATATTGAATTTATTGGTCAATCTGATAATAATTTTACATGTATTAGTGATGCACATCAAACTACATCATGACTGGACCATTGTGTCAACGATTAATGCGCATCGCTCCATTGTAGATATTAATATTTTATATGATCATATTGCTTCAGACCGCTTACCATTATCTGTGACTTTCCATATCGATAAGGTAGTCGCTACTGAGGAAGAACCCCTACGATCAAAATTCCACTACGCATGCGCCAATTAATTGGTCGAAAGTACTAACGGCAAAGCTTGCTAAATTTTCTGAGCTCACTGTTACATATTTGAAAAATATAGTTATTTCTGTTGACGCTATTATTTGTGAATCACAAAACTGTACACACGACGAACATAATACTATGATAAGTCAATATTATGACGAAATCGTTGATGCACTTACAAATGCTTCACATGCAGCATTCAGAGTTCAAAACCGTCATACAATACGATTCCGGGATGGCTTGTCTGGCAACATTGATATTGCTAATATGTGGGCTAATCATTTTGAAGCCCTTACGTGTACGATTATGTTAATGGTTCTACAGAAAGTACCGTACACCACGTGTCTCGGAGGAAATTTTTAGTATCGTGCGCAACTTAGATTTGGGTAAATCATGTGGTTCGGATTGTCTTAATGCCGAGCATTTTGAATTTGCTGGTCCTGCAATTATTCTGCACCTAGCCATGTGTATTTCTGCAATGTTTTGTCATGGATCTGTTCCGGATAACATAGATGTTGTTATTGTGTCACTAATTAAGAATGAAGCTGGTGATGTGTCTAGTTTAGATAATTTTGCCCGATTGTAATAACCACCGTCATTTCAAAAATTGTTGAGCATATAATTATGTCTAGATGCCAGGAGTTTATTGACCTAACTGACAATCAGTTTGGATTTAGGAAGAAATGTTCAACAGATCTGTGTGTATTTCTGTTAAAAGAAGCAGTAAGTCATAATTGGCTTGGTAGTCGCGTGTTTGTCTATTTCCTTGACGCTTCAAAGGCATTTGACAGATTCAATCACTCGACGCTTTTTACAAATTGACTGAATATAATGTACCTATATATATAGTTCGTTTTATATAACATCAAAAATATTGTGATAAATGGGGGAATGCTATATCCAGTTTATTCTGTATCTAATGGAGTACGTCAAGGCGGTGTTATGTCACCAATGTTATTTAATGTATATAATCTGAATATCCAGCTGAATGACACTATGTGGATGTCTCGTTGGTGATAAATTGCTAAACAAATGTGTGTGCTATCGCCCTCTATTAAGGGATTAAGACGACTTGGAAATATGTGGTCGCTTTGCGCATGACATCATGCATGTGTTTTTTTAGTCGATAGTGTTTTCAAAATGCCACCAGTATATTTATCGGGACAGCCAATGCAAATTGTTGACCAATTCACATATCTTGGTCACAAGCTTACTAGTGATTTGAAGGATAACACTGATATAGATCATCAGAAACGTCTATTTTGCATCAGGGCTAATCTTCTATTACGGAAATTTTCAAAATGCAGTCATAAGGTCAAACTTTTGTTATTTAAAACTTTGTTTAACTTTTTTTGCTGTCAACTATGGTGCTCCTTTCGGAAGTCGAACTTTAATGTTTTGAGTGTACATGGTGTACTTTATAATAACTTGTTTCGCCGCTTTTTTCCATACCCACGTGATTATAGTGTAAATCATATGTTTGTATATAATCATGCCAAGTCTTTTTACGAAACTTTTAGAAATTTTGTATTTAAATTTGGAGTGTATATACACCTCTGATAATAGTCTGTTGGTGAGCTTATGTAACTCTGATGTCTGTTGGAAGTCTGCCATGTTCCAGCATTGACAATTTTGTACTATTAATATTGCCATACGCACACTTGTTGGCAAACATGATACTTTTTTTTCTTCATTCATTTCTGTTGACCTATATACTGATATTTTTTTGTTAATTTATTTTTCATACTAGTTTTATATGGACTTTCAAATGTTTGACAGTCTGAAATAGAATACAGACCAGATTGGTTTTAGGTTAATATTTGCATATGAATTACCTAATTTGCATAATGTGATGATCTAATCAGTTTTGGGTTTGTATAACATCCATGATAATTATCTGATTTGCATAATAATTTCCCTTTCCAACAATTTTTTTTAGAATAAATCATCACATAATGAAACATGGTACATATATGCATAATTGATTAATTTCCACAGACATTAGTTTTATGTTGAAAAACGTACATATTTATTATTAGCCTATTTCTGATATCTCAAAAAAATCAGATTTAAATTGAATTTGTCACAGAGTTGCTCTAGAATTAGACTGAAAACCATATGTGTAAAATATTTTGATAATGTGGTTCACATAGTTTTCATGTTGTGCATCTCACATAGCACACAAATATTAGTTGCCCAGCTTGTTTGAAAGGCTGAATTTGAATGCGTCTCCAATACTCTCTAAGCTATATTTGATATCACATGATCTGTACAATTCCTAGGACAATTTCTATAAACACACAGATTTAATTGTAGATAAAATGAAACATTGTGTTAGGTTGTGAAGTGCTAGGTACTTTTTAAATAAAATTTTAACATCAACGATCAGAGCAGATGTGGCTGCCCAATGTGCATCATGGTATAAAAATGTGAAGGTGATTGGTCAAAGCATATTGGATATGGCTTTGGAATAGCACTTATTTAAAAAAAAAATGGCTGTCAGTCAGCCATTTTTAATCTGATCTGGGAAACAAAATGACGTGTCTCAAGGTCCTATAATGCCCAAAGTACACAGTTTTAACAAAATTCATCCATACAGAAACTTTTTAGATTGTAGTAATTTTATTTGTGTACTATCAAATATCACTGTGCATAAAACTGAATTACTACCACTTGTATCAAAATCACCCTGTATATACCCAATATACATACAATTCTACAGTAAATTTGTCCTTAAAAGAATTGCTAAACAAGGTCACATTTACATACTGTTGAAAGCATGGTAACATGAACTAATTGAGAGTAGATTGTGTGATGTCAGTCTATCGAGTGATCCAGATAATTTGGGTCAATATCTAAAACATACTTGAACACTGTATATACATCTTGCATTGAAAATTTTTTTTTAATTCTTGGAGTCCATGCTTTTATGATCTTGGAACACAAAAACATCTTGTGACGAGTTTGCAGAAATAATTGTTATTGGTCTCTGTGATCAGCCTGCACAGAGGATCAGTAACTCTGTTAACAATTTATAAAACCTTTAGTTGTAACCAAAATAAAGAAATACAACCACTTTTGGCTTCAATCTCACGTTGTATATGTTTTGATGATGCATACTCTGACCTAGTCTTTACCCACAAAGTGCACTGAATGGGGAGGAGGAATTCTTACTTGTATGAGAAATTACAAAATCTTAATTGAACAAACAAATATTTTTGATATTTCACAATATAATAGATAAATTAAAAATTGCAACTTGTAAATATTTCAACTGATATCATTAACACGTTGGTTAAGTAATGTTCAATGCCCTAGAAACTGTTGCTAGGAGACCAAGATGATCTGATGCAGCAAAGTGTTTTCTCTTTCCATCATCCAATAAAGAGATGTTGTGGAGTTGAATGTCCTTGGGCAGCCTCACAAAAATGTAGTCAATCTATTGAAACAAATATATATACAATAGGTTTTGCAACGTTATAGTAGACGCATAGATGAGTTTATTTTAGTATTCTAGAAAAATATATAAATAGCATTGATTTGCGTTATTATCACTTCATGAGGTCATCTGATAAAAACAACAAGCAGCCTCTCGGCTGAGATAGCTCCGCTGTTAGCAATGCACATTTCAATTAAAGATCAAATATCATTAGAAAATGAACAATATGTATAGTATCAAAGCAATGGGACTTGCTGTTTTCAACAAGAATTCGAAAATATCATTTTTCACCATAAATGATTGTGGGTATTAACAAGAAGTCGAAAATATCACTTTTTACCAAAAATGACAAAAATATTCACCAAAATTAGAGAATTGAAGATATCATTACAAAATGATCAAATCTGAGTGAGATCCACATGTGGTATTATATATGTAATATCAAAGCAATTGGACTTGCGGTTTTTAGCAAGAAGTTGAAAATATCACTTTTTACCAAAAATGTCAAAAATATTCACCAAAATTAGAGAATTAAAGATATCATTACAAAATGAACAAATCTGAGAGAGGTCCACATGTAGTACCTATATATTTAATATCAAAGCAATTGGACTTGCGCTTTTTAACAAGAAGTCGAAAATATCACTTTTTACCAAGAATGACAAAAATATTCACCAAAATTAGAGAATTGAAGATATCATTACAAAATGAACAAATCTGAGAGAGTACCTATATATATAATATCAAAGCAATTGAACTTGCAGTTTTTAACAATTAGTCGAAAATATCACTTTTTACCAAAAATGACAAAAATATTGACCAAAATTAGAGAATTGAAGATATCATGAAATGAACAAATCTGAGAGAGGGTTACCCAAGGTACATATACACCAAGTATCAAAACATTCAGGCTAGTAGTTTTCAAGAAGAAGTTGAAAAAGTAAAACATTGACACGGACGACGGACAATCACTCATATGATAAGCTCCGCTCAACAAAGTCGTAAGCGGAGCTAAAAACTAGAATAGCGACCTATGTATATATAAATGTGTGGCACTGAAATGATTTTGCAATCTACACATGCTGATGACATGCTACACATGACTTACTCTTGATACTAATTGTGGTTTAATTGTACTCCAGGTCAGACCATGATCTCGCTTCTCATTTGCACGATATAAACCCAGTTTAGCAGATCTGTAATAAAATCAAAGAATGAATACGGTAATCACACACTGTGATGTAATGCTAAAATTAATCAGTATCAGTAATTAATTAAAGCACCAAAATCGCTGTGCAGACCATGTTTAAATTACGATATATGTAACCATACATTGTATATGACACAATAACTGTTGTCTTTTGTATATTTGTGACAATCATAAATATTGAATTTGAAGATGAAAAAATAAAAACTTGTTTTTAATAATAAAAATAAATTAACTCTAAAATACCCAAGTTTAGATTATGACCCTTGCCTGCTTCTGGTAAAATGATACAATGTTTTGGGTAGGGGAAGTATTCATGGTTTTTAAATTCATGCTGTGTGATTTGAACAATGGGGTACTTTATTACTTAATCTGTTCCTTAATTCTGTTGTACTTTGGATTTACAAATGTAATCAAAGAAAGGTTAGAAAAAACTCCCATGTGCTGACAGTATTAGAGGCATAAAATACAAATAAATAAAATTGCCAGCAATGAACCGGTTGGTTTAAAAATCATAAATATTTAATGATATAATGACCATATTTGGTGACTTGATATTTTGTTCGTATATCTTGTCAAAATTATAACACCAGTTGCATGTCCCTATCTGCAAATTCTTTAACAAGATATTACAGTTATGCAAATTATTTGGGTCACATGACCATATATACTGTAAAACATGTATTTTTACATGTACCTGCATGTTATTTTAGCTAATTTAGCTAATGTGTAATTTCGCTAATTCAAGATGTAGCTAATTTAACAGAAAGTATATTCTCACAGGGACATAGTCAACACTTTAGCTAAATTAGGATTCTGTTATTTCATGCCAAGAGACAGATCCACTAAAATTGCATGCAGCTATTTCAACGTGTTCTACAGTACTCATCTGGAACATTAGTCATATCACATTGATCTCAACCAAAAACTAATCAGACGTGTGCAATATCCCAGGGTATCCATGTACGAAGCTTCATAATCATGAGAAACAACTGAAAATGTTTAAATTTGGCTAATTATGCAAATTAGTTAATTATTATGAATATATATATAGATTACATTAGATTGTTGCAATGTCTTAGAGTATTTACCGGGTACATTTGTATGTACCAAGATTCATTGAAATAAGATGAGTACTTGAGATATTGAGGGAAAAGCTGAAAACTGACTATTTATTATGCAGGTAATTAATATATTATTGTAAAACTAATAAAGTCTGTGCATTGTCCCAGAGCATCAATGTACCAAGTTTCATTGAAATGTAATGATTAGTTTTATAAATATCAGGAAAAGAAAACAATTTACTAATTATGCAAATTAGGTAATTAATATGCAAGGCTAATGTTGGAAAACCTAATTCCATATAGTAAACACCAGCAATTGAACAGTGCAGAATTGTGCTAATTTTTACCTTGGCTCTTTGTGTTGTAATGTCCATGCATCGTACAGTCCTTTTGTTTGCACTCCATTTATCTCAGCTTGTCCAGTAAGAAACCTGGAAATCGATACATATTGTACATCATACTAGTCAGTATATATGAGCCACGTCAGACCAAATTCCAGTCTCTCCCTTTATTCAAGCATAAATTATAATTGAATTTTGAGGGAACCATATTTATGGTTGAAGAATGTGACATTATAACAACTATATGTGCTGTTATGCACGAGTCAAACACATGTGGACCTTACTTGTGGAACTTACACTGTTCTCACAAGTCTTATTCATTAGTGAATGAATGTCAGTACGTGGATTTGGCTTATCTCTCAACTCAGGATCCTAGTCATCTCCCTTGAACTCTGGTCCTACATTGTACAGATCATGAAACTTAACACAACAATGATCACATTACTATTGATCAACAGCTGATAATTAAAATACAGTTTGAGATTTCATTTTGTTTATATTCTGCTAGAATTAAGCCTATACAATAAGGATGCCAGAGCAAAACACCGAACATTGATATCACACATGCATAGTACAGTACTTACTTGATGGATTTTTCATGAGGTTCTGCATTAAGATCACCCATTAGTAAAGCTGGTCCTGTGAACTTCTGCATGAATTCCCATATCTCAACCACGGTTCTATCTCTGGCATCTTCACTCAATGACAGGTGAGTGTTAAACACATGTATCTGTGGGGATAAATCAGTAATGGAATAAAACTGATCTCTCAACATGCAAAATATATTTATGTATTTACTACTCTGGCCGTTCAACAGCGAGAAGCTCAATTGCAGATCTTGAAGCACTACTTTTATTGGGGCGCAAATAGCTACTATTTTTGCATGGAGTGATTAAGTAACAGCATGCAGGAACACCCGTTGTAATGGTGGAGTGATTAAGTAACAGCATGCAGGAACACCCGTTGTAATGGTTGGCTAGCCTGAATGTATTGCTGAGTCAAAGACACACCCACAGCTACACATCAGCTCTGCAATAAAGCGTTCAACAGACCATGGTTCTCTGTCACTGTTCTTTTGTAGACGGGTACAATGACCTGCAGATCTTAAGCAAGCCTCCTATCACTAAGGGAGGGAGAATAATTTACGACAGCAACAGGAGTGGGGGGGGCGAGGAAAAGGGAAGGAGAAAGAATTGTGCCATGGGTTTTTTTAAGGCTTAAAAAACGTTATTCAACAGACATCTACCTCTCTCCCAACCTCACCTGATGATCAACACTTACAAATTTCTGACCTTAAAATGTTTTCTTACCATTCCAAAGACAGGAAATTCAATTTCAGCATGAATACAAATTCTTTGATGAAAGTCGTTTGGATCAGATGCATTCCTAAAGAGAAGACGATTGTAAAATATCAATAAAGTCACAATCACATAATGTACTGCAGGGACTTTACATTTTACATACCACAATCATATTTCCCTCTATTAAACACACCTCCATGATTTACGGTAAGTGCATGTGCTACTATGGAGCAAATGTCTAACCTAACTTGTTACCATAAATGAAACAGATATCACTTCATATCGGGCGGTTTGGGATATGAACAACATCACCACATAACAAAACTACTAGGAATTGAGCATGCTCGGCTCTGCAATTTTGAGATATAATTTTGTTTGAAAGAAGTTCAAGACAAAGTTTTGCAACCATTGACAATATGTGCATAATATCACTGAAAACTCACTAAATTAAGTGAGATATTAGATGAAATACTGTCACTATAGAAACCAATGCAATATACGGTGAAAATTATCTAGAATGATTTAGATTTGGTTATTTAAAACTTGATGGTCAACCTTCAATTTTGTTTTATCTCATAGGTGTGTATATAGCAACAATTGTCATATGAAATAGTTTTTTAGATAAAAATATCTGGTAATAACGATCACTCTACACAATTGATCGCTTGATATCTTTCAAACCAAAAGTAACTGCCACATCTATGCCTTGTCGTTTATGATATCTTTGATAGTTTTGTGTCACTGTGAATTGATGAGTACAAGGTTCAGCTCTAAAATGATGGGTAGTGAGATTTCATCACAAAATCAGAAGTTGTTATTGTCACACTAATCTACAAGTCGGATAAGTGACAAAAGTAAATCTTAAATAATTTACATTGGAGACAAATTAAATGAAATTACTGATAAATAGAATACTCAATTTTGAAAAATGCTGAGAAAAATCTTTATTTATATGCCCACACAAAAATTGTTAACACCAATGACTAACATTTTACCCCCAATAACTTGAAATCTTAATTCACATCACAGGCAATTATTAAAATTAAATACAAACCTTGACAAAAGAATGAAATCATGCGACTTGATAGGAAATTTTGAGAAAATAGCCAGACCTTCCTCTGTTCGTCCAAATATATTATCCATGAATGTCATAGCCGGCTGATAGATAAACTGAAATATAATAATTTATTTATAGAGTTTTAAAATCATTCAATATTCTAAAGAATCAGAAAATGTATGTAAATCATAAATCTGGAATTACAATATCTGATGTTTAATATGGATAATCAATTAGTTATCCTCAGTAAGCCAATGCAAGAAGAAAAAGTTCTTCCATCCTACCTGGTAATTTGGCAGTGCTAATGATAGGTGTTGGACTTGGAATGGTCCTAGCTCACCGCTTTTTTCCAAATCAAAACGAACTTCTTGAAATGATACGATGTCTGAATCACTTTGGGATACAATCTGATAAAAAAATAGGCCAATGGCCTGTTGCTCAATGGCTATTGTACAAAAGATTAGTGCTGTATATGACAAATACCCCAAAAGGCAGTGAGTGAGACAATAAAACATAATGCTAAAAGTAAAATTTTTTACAAAAATAACAGAAATATTCAATAAAATTAGAGATTAAAAAGAACTCCAGCGTGTGTTGAGAGAATAACATGACATTTGCAATTATCTGAATTCGTAATACATGTATATACCAAGATTTGTTGAAATATGTTGAATGGTTCTTGAAATAGCACCCAAATAGCATAAATTTCCACCAAAAACTAAATATATCTGGAAACGGCCCCAACACATCTATGCACCAAGTTTTATTAAAACATATTAAATGGTTCTCAAGATAACACCAAAATAGCCTAAATAATGGTATGTAATCTAGGCAATTTGCATAATTGTCCACCAAAATCAATCATGTCTATACACATTTGAATATGTTGAGTGGTTATGTTTTCATTACAATCACAATAGACCAATCAAAGAAAACTTAGAACTCCCATGTGCTATGTGAGAATGAGAAACAGTTGACAGAACAAATGGGAAACATTACATATCTCCCTGTGAGCATGTAATTTCAATATGGCATCATTGTATAATCTTCCCAAGTTTTGTCCATTTTCCGACAACTGTAGTGCATTAAGGAGAAGGTAATAAAAAAAATCATGAATTTCTGAAATTTTTGATAAATTTGGCCACTTTTAGTGACTGGGTAAAGTGTCATCCAAGCTACATGTGTACCAAGTATCAAAGAATTTGGACTACTGGTTTTGAAGAACAAGTCAAAAGTACTATTTTTGATGAAAAATGACAAACACAAAATGAACAAATCTGATAGAAGTCCAGCCAACGTATATACCATGCTGGTTTGTAAGCAATCGGACTACCAGTTTCGAAAAAGAAGTCAAAAATAGCATTTTTGACCACAAATGAAAAAAAATATTTGATGAACTATTTTTGATGAAAAATGACAAACACAAAATGAACAAATCTGATAGAAGTCCACCCAACGTATATACCATGCTGGTTTGAGAGCAATCGGACTACCAGTTTCGAAAAAGAAGTCAAAAATAGCATTTTTGACCACAAATGAAAAAAAAATATTTGCTAAAATTAGAGAATTAAAGATATGGCCACGAGATGAACAAATCTAGTAGATGTCAACACAAGGTACATACACACCAAGTATCAAAGCATTCAGGCTACCGGTTTTGAAGAACAAGTCGAACATAGAAATTTTGACCAAAAATGACCATTTTAAAATATTCGCCAAAATTAGGAAATTGAATTAACAAAACTGATAGAGGACAACCCAAGGTTCATGCACTATCAATATCAGCACTGTAGACCACTTAGTGTCATAGTAGCATAGAAGAAATTTTATAGTTTTGGGGGGCTAATTTGCATAATTTTTGGCAGATCCACTTCTCATGAATAAATTACCATCTACACTTATCAAGGCATCCACACACCAAAAATAGAGTCAAACGGTTTGGCGGTTTTTGAGAAGAAGTCATGCACAGACAGACAGACAGACAGACAGACAGACAGACAGACAGACAGACAGACAGACAGACAGACAGACGGCTGATGCAGGACAGAAACCCATCCCATAGGCTCAGCGGACCTATGGTCTGTTGAGCCAAAAAAAAACTATTACAGTTCAGCTTGTTTTATATTTAACGCAATATCATTCATACCATGGATTCGCATAATTAGTATTGCAATTTTATTATTTTTGGTTATGCTGTTAGAAATGTTCATGACGTTTGTGAGGATGGATTTCATGAAAATTGCTATCACCCTTCATGAATACAGTGTAATATTTACTGCTACAAAATTTTGACACACAAAAGTAAGGTAGAGATGCAGGTTTGTGGGCACTTGGGAGTGAAATTTTTTTTTGCTTTTTATTATCAAACCAGTCTTGGCTATAGATTGTTGAAATTTTGTAGAATTGTGAAGAGTGGAACATACTCAAAAAACGATTTTAAAATATAGATAACAGGTGCAAACATTCTCTCTTTTGAATGCTTAGTAAGATTTAGCAGGGCTGTACATAAATAATAAAAAAAAAACATGGTGAGAAAAAGAAATGACGGGATCTCTATATTATGCATTATATTTAACTTTTAACAAAACGATAATACATTCAAATTTGGAACTGTTACAGCCATTTTAATTATGAGCATTAGCAAACTTCTTTCAGAGTGAATTGTTATGCAAATTAGCAATTATCTCAGCTTCTTTTTAGTGCACATCCCAGAACTTTAAAAAAAATAGCTCCTAGACGCTTTTACCTTTTGTTTTGAAATTTTCACAAATGATTGACAATGTGTTTATCTTCAAAACGCTGTCAGGGCATTGTTTTTGGATGAATAGTGTTACAACAATCGTACAGACAACTAGCCTGGGTGTTAATTTATGCATAAACTTGAACGAGTGAAATTTGAGCTGGTAGACAGTTTTCAAGACGGCACTTTCTTCATAGTAAACAGGTGTACCCATTAACCAATTTTGACAGGAAACAGAAGCATGGTTTAGAAGCTAATTTTTTTTTAAATCACTTTTGACCAAAAAAGCACATTTTTGTGCATATTTCAAATTAGTGTCCATAAAAAAAAATACTAACAAAATTTTAAAATTCATACAATACGTTTTCCGAAAATATATAGTTTTGTGGACAAGGGAGGTCATCTTGGTTTCCTAATAGTAATTAAAATAACTGTCAGGTAAACTGCATCTCTACCTTAAAGCAATTTACATTAATCTAATGAGTCTGTATTTAAAGCAATTTACATTAATCTAATGAGTCTGTATTTAAAGCAATTTACGTTAATCTAAGGAGTCTGTATTTAAAGCAATTTACATTAGTCTAAGGAGTCTGTATAAGAATAATTCATAATGATGTTAGAGTGTCCATGGAGCCGCAAGACAGTTCCTGAAAGCCATTGTTGCTTTAATTACAAGTAAGGAGTGAGGTGGGATTAGGTAGGATGGCTCTGGTCAAATAAAATTTATTCTCAAAGTTATGGGATTATTACTATATATTATATTACTATATGGGATCAATATAGGTGAGAGTAGGTATTGAACTTACTTAGTTATAAGTGCAACTCTAAAGACAAAAAATATATATATTCTGATCCTAAAATAGTGCAGTGGCTATTTTCCTTTAGCTTTTGTTGTTCATTTTAAAGATGAACAGGTTTAACATGCACCTTTAAAAATCAACACATGATTGGCTTGTTTTGGATCTGTTACTATTCTCAGTTACCATTCATATTAAAGTATGGTTAAAAAAAACACAGACTCCAACCTGGCTACCAACAAGAAAAACGCAAAATGCAATAATTTACCTCACCCAGATGTAGAATTCTTCTTTCATATTCTTTATGATTGTCTTCAACAAAACTATTAAAATTCCATATATTATAAGAAGCAGCGCTCACAAAATACTGCACATGGTCATCAATTCTTTTATTTTTCAATTCAAATTTTGCTAGCAAGTCTCCAGTTTTTTCTTTGCCAGGAAATGATTTACTAAGATGCGGGCATTCTGATTGGTCTACTGGGGTCACATGAGTTTGTGATTCAGCCAATGATTCACCCTCTGTCATGGTCATGTGATCAGAAACTGGCTGACCAGACACTGTCATGTGACTTTTGAATAACTGATTCACTTTGCAATATTCGTCAGTGGAACCGGCATCCATCATTGCCGATTTGAGGTAATCAGGAAAGTAATAAGTATGTTCGTAAATGTATGAGTTTCGAAGTCTATCTTGGCTGATAATAAACTGGTGGCGATAACTGTTTTTCACTGATGGCCACGCTAGAATGAAGAAGTAAGTAACTCCAACGATTATTTGACGACTTTGGTATTGTTTCTTGCCGCCTTCTATAGTTACTACATCATAATGAAATGGAGACACTCCATCCATAGTATACTGTAATTTCTGAAAAAACAAAAGTCAGGGTTTATGCATTAACATTGGTAAACGTTTGTGACAGCATGGAAGAGTTGAAGGTGTGTGATTATTGCTGCGATTGGTGCTGATAATATTCAGGTTTTGAAAGTGTGCTGCGATTGGTGCTGATAATATTCAGGTTTTGAAAGTGTGCTGCGATTGGTGCTGATAATATTCAGGTTTTGAAAGTGTGCTGCGATTGGTGCTGATAATATTCAGGTTTTGAAAGTGTGCTGCGATTGGTGCTGATAATATTCAGGTTTTGAAAGTGTGCTGCGATTGGTGCTGATAATATTCAGGTTTTGAAAGTGTGCTGCGATTGGTGCTGATAATATTCAGGTTTTGAAAGTGTGCTGCGATTGGTGCTGATAATATTCAGGTTTTGAAAGTGTGCTGCGATTGGTGCTGATAATATTCAGGTTTTGAAAGTGTGCTGCGATTGGTGCTGATAATATTCAGGTTTTGAAAGTGTGCTGCGATTGGTGCTGATAATATTCAGGTTTTGAAAGTGTGTCTTAAAGAATAGTACATTGTAAATAAAAACATAACCTGCTGATGTTTTTTTTTATCTGTGTAGACTTTTAGTATCTATAGTGTGTACTCTAATGTGTTAAAGAGCGACAGTCGTCGCACCACGTCTTGTTCGATATGGGACTCATAGCGATGTATACAACGCGTGTAAAATACATTTTTATTTACATGAAATTCGAACAAGCACATATTGATAATGTAAACTGAATTTTATCACAGACAATTTATTTTCTGTCCAAAGTCAGCCAAAAATTTGACTTAAGTTACAGTAACATTTTCAGCAGTAACTTGTACCAATGAGTTTCGGCCCACATAAATAATATAACACGACTTTTTTTCAAA